AGTTCTCTAAATTAGGGTCCTCTTTAGGGTACTTTTTATATTGGCGCCGTACTAAAATGGGGCCCGAATTTAGAGAACTCCATTTTCTTTCGGGGTGAGTGGGATGGATCCCTACGGCGGCCCCCCTCCTTCTTCCCTCCGTCTCTCTCTCTCCCTCTGCCTCTCTCTCCCTTCATCTCTCGCCCCCCCTCTCCAAATAGTTAGTTCAGCAAACAAATGAAAGGTTCAATAACATCGAGCCGAACATGAAAACGAATCAATGAATATCTCGATCAATATACATATATATATATATATATATATGCATATATTTTTTTTTATTGATATTTGCACATATATATATATATATATGTATATCTATATATGCCCATCTGCACTCATGGGTAGCGAGATAGTTAGAAGTTAGAAGTTTGTATACCTAGCTGTCTTTGTGTGTATTTGGCTGGCTGGCTAGTTGGCTGGCTGGCTGGCTGTAACTATCATGCATGCACGCATATACATGATTAATTATATGCATATATGTTTGTTTATTTAGTTTACTTGGCACAGTGTACCCCACCGGAAACCTGATCTAATCAGTCTCCTTATTCAAGTGTGCTCCCTGAACTTTCCTAAGCCACACACGCTACGCAAGCACAGTTGCTCGTGATAACTTAAACCCTATACCCTTATCCCTAAACCCTAAACCCCTAAACCCCTAAACCCTAAACCCTAAACCCTAATCCCTAAAGCCTCCTGATAGGAACGAATCGCTGCGGCCAAACAAGCCGCCTCTCGTCTCATGCGGGTGACGGAAGGGCTTTTGGGTTTAGAGGTTTAGGGGTGGAGGGGTTTAGAGTTCAGGGTTTAGGGGTTTGGGGGGTGTAGGGGTTTGGGGTTTAGGGGTTTAGGGGTGCAGGGGTTTAGAGTTTCGGTTTTAGGGGTTTAGGGGTGCAGGGGTTTAGAGTTTAGGGTTTAGGGGTTTAGTTTAAGGGGGTGTAGGGGTTTGGGGTATATGGTTTCATAGCTGCCGCGGTTTTCGAGGATTTTGCAGGGTTGCAATGAGGATCCTCACTTCTGTGTCCTTGTCCTCTGGGTTTATTGTTTAGGGTGTTAGGCATCAGGTTTATTGTTTAGGGTGTTAGGCATCAGGTTTATTGTTTCAGGCGGTTTCACAGCTTTCAATAAAATCTGAGGGCTGTGGATACTAACCATGATCTCCAGTTCTGCTTTAGACGAGGCAAACCGGTAACATTCGAGCTTCCCACCCATGATGGCTAAGCGCCAGAACCTCAGAAGATCATAAGAAAGCCAAATCTCTCCAAAACCTTCTCGAATCCTGCAACCCCGCATCCCTAAATCCCCAAAGCCCAGAGATCCAAGCTCCCTCAACAAAAGCCAACCGTCATCTGAAACCTTCTTCCAGGCACAGCAGTGGAAGCAGGAGATGGCGAATAAGGTGAGGCCCAACAAGGCTCGCAACTTTCAGGAAGGTTCTTGGAGTCGGGATTTTGATGTTTGGGAATTTGGGAACCCAGGTAGGTTTGGGGGAACTATCTGATTGGGGTTTTCTGTTCTAGGTGTTCGGGGTAAGTGTTTGATGGTGCAGGGAGTTTGAAAAATCCGAAACCTTATTTTATGGGCATGCACTGCTGCGCCTTCGTTTCGACTACTGTGCCACCCCCCGGGCCCCCGATCAACAAAAGCCGAGAGCAACCCAAGCCATACACAGAGTAAACAAGCACAGGCGATTACGACAGACGGATATTGCAACCAGCTACATAGGTCCTATATGGCGAAAGCTGAGGTGCAAAACTCAAAAGCCAACCAAAAACAAAACATAGCAGCGGCCCTGAAAACTCTGGGTATGGCCATGATCCGAGGCCTCTTCGGGAACCCTAGGGCCCTAGGGTTTAGGGTTTACACCCTAAACCGCAAACTGCAAGTTCTTGTTCTTGGCTTATGGGGCTGCCCACCGTTGAGGCAGATGTCCAGGGCACCAGACCTCGCATTGCACCGGCCCCGGCTTTGCTATGGATTGATTACCATGAGGGTCACCATAAGGGGTTCGAATAAGGGTCGATATTCTTCTTCTTACCACTGTAATGGGTAATAAATATGATAGCAAGGGCTACTACAAGGGTCTATTCATGCTGTGATAAAGCATCTGTTGGGCTTTGTGTGCGGGTGGTCGACTTAGTTGGACGCGTTTACCGTTCGCTGGCCGTCAGTTTGCAACTGCTCAACGCCGGCCCCACCCAAAAACCCCGATCCTGCGCCTATCCTTTGGGGCTTGGGGCTTCAGGGTTTAGGGTTCACGGTCTAGAGTCTTGGGCTTAGGATGCAGGGTTTTTACCCTAAACCCTAAACCCTAAACCCTACACCCTAAACCCTGGCTTGGTTGAGGACATGTACACTGCTCTGAAGATGATCGCGGACTTCAAGCGGAGTTGCAACGGCAAGGCGAAGCCCATGCCCCCAGAAATTGTGCCTCGGAGGCCGTTATGTTCAGGGTTTAGGGTTTAGGGTTTAGGGGTTGGCCCTGGCCCAGTAAAGTCTCGCCGGATGTGAGGACATTGAACAGGTCCTGCCCCGCACTCAGGCCAAAACTCTCTAACATTTGGACCCCAAGTCCCCAAATCTTACCTTAAAGCCCGTACCCAAGCCCCTGCTCCGTTTTCCGTGAGACTCCCTAAACCTTATAAGGACTTCAAGTCAAAAACATTGAAACCCCAACCTCGCTAAAGCTCAGACTCTAATAGCCCTCAACTATGAACTCCCCGACAGCCCTAAAGACCCTAACTCCAAAAAGCTCCCAGAAAGCCCTCCTTGGAGGGTCATAGGTAATCCTAGGGGGTGTTGCAAGGCCTTTTGTATGGTTTTACGGCATAACTACACTTGTCCTACACGGGTAGTTCTCTAAATTAGGGTCCCTTTTTATAGTACGGCACCCTTATAAAAAGGACCCTAAAAGGGACCCTAATTTAGAAAACTACCCACATAGAACCCTACGCACTTGCACCTGCACCCTAACCCCTAAACCATAAACCCTAAACCCTAAACCCTAAACCCATAACCTCCAAGTAAGCCAAAAGAGATTTCAACGCGAGCTGAGGTCGAAGCAACAGCGCCATGGAAGCAAACATCACCAGATCGTTTAGGGTTTTGGGGGTTTAGGGGTTTTGGGTTTAGGGTTTAGAAGTTTAGGGTTTAGGGTTTAGAAGGGGTTTAGGGGTTTAGGGTTTAGGGTTTAGGGTTTAAAAGGGGTTTAGGGGTTTAGGGGTTTAGGGTTTAGGGTTTAGGGTTTAGGGTTTAGGCATTTCGTGTTTAGGGGCCAGGGTTCAGGGGTCAGTCAGAGAACAGGATTCAGAGTGTTGGCTTCTGGATTAACGGTTTGAGCTTAAGCTCTTCGACTTTGTTTTAGCCTTTTCTTGACATCGCTATTGATAATGTGACGAAAATGGTTGGAGGGAGTTGCAGGAATGATACCTAGTATGTAGTCAGTTTGGGCAGTATTAAGCACTCTTGCAGCTGGTATTCTATCTACTTTCATGCTCGTTGTGGTATGGCCATCGGAGTGCTGCAGCGTAGGACTTCGGATATTAGTGTTGCTCTTTTTTTCGGATGTTCCCCCGTGTGCTTAGGAGCCTGTGACTTTGGCTGTGGCGCGTTTTCGGCTTCAGGTCTCGTTTTGTGCCAGAGTTCTCGAGCACTGCAAATTCCTGCATTGGACAGTAGACCCACCAACATTCCTGCCAGCGTGTCAATCCCTCTGTCTCTCTCTCTCTCTCGGCGCTCCCCGTCTTGATATCGTTTAGTCCCGACATGCATGTATCACATCATCACGGGCCAGTTTCGCGCGCATCATGGGCCCTGCGTGTGCATGTTGACGTGTTCCACTGAGCTCCAAGCCCGAACCTAGATCCTTGAGGCTTTGAGGGTTCAGGAGTTTAGGGTTCCCTAAACCCTAAACCCTAAGCCCTAAGCCCTAAACCCTAATTCAGGAATTTAGGGTTCAGCCTTGCGCGATTCCAAGGCCATTGTGACTGGGGCTCCGATGCCGTGAGTAACTCAGCTCGGGCATCACCGGGCGCCGGGGCTAAGGCAATCTCTCTACTAGGTCCGTACTTTAGGGTTCAGGGTTTAGGGTTTAGGGTTTAGGGTTGAAAGACGTAGTAGAAGCATCGACCCTGAACCCTAAACACTGAGCCCTAAACTCTAGACCTTGAACCTCAAACCCCAGCCCTGAACGCCAAACCTACTGCATTTCTTTTAAAGAACCCTAAGCCTCAGTATAGTAGAAGCATGAACACATCCGAATTTCGGAGCCTTGTCTCGACGCCCGGTCTCCTTTTCCCGCGGATGCGGAGGGCATTGGCCTTCGGTCTCATGCGCGCTGGGAGGTTTCTAAAGAGTTGCGCAGACCTTCAAATTCTCAGGGGCTTCGGGGTTGGGAGTTTAAAGTCGAACTGAAGCCTCGACCCACATTCTCGGGCTAAAAGCCAAGACTTCCGAAGCAAAAGAACCCCTGCTGCCGCATCCTTAACCTTGTACAATGTAGCTTTGCAGCAAGGGGGTCCCCCCTAAACCCTAAACCCTAAACCCTAAAACAAAAACTCCGGCCCAGAAAAGGCGCGCGTGGGAGTGTAGGGGGCTCTTCATGTTTCGGGATTCAGGGTCAAGGGTTTCGGGTTTCTTTAAGGCTTCCGATACAGGTTCCTGGAGGAGTGCAGGATTTCGAGTTCAGGGCAGGTAAAAAAGGCCTTTTTGGGCCTATGGTACTTTCTAGCTATATGGTTAGCATTTATGATACTATGATTATGGTTAGTTTGTGCTGGGGTTAGGGCCTCAGAACCTGTAGCCCAAATTTTACAAGCGCCGTATGTGCAGGGCCCAAGCCACGAACTCTTCTATCGGATTTTCCAGGATTCAGTGGACGGGCTGTGAGATTCTTTACTTCAGCTAGTCTTTGAGGTTGTGATGGGTTTCGGAGATGGGTTTATTAGTATGCACGGTCTTTGTTGCTTTCAGGGGTTCAAGGTCTCGTGCACCTATCGACGTCCCTGTGCGATGATCGCAGGATGGCGTTGCGAATGTTGCTCGTAGCATGTTTAGAATCTTGTTCAGATCGTTACGAGGTCGCAGGAGGCCATCCCAAGCCGCGTGTCACATGCTAGTGCTCGATGGGGATGCCTCAAGCTTCGGTTCCTCAGCCCAGAACCATAAGCCGCAAGCCCTAGATCGTAAGCCCTGTTTGAGTTAATGCTTTGGGTTTAAGGGGACATGGGCGATGATGAGGCGGCGCACCCATCTCACGTGTTACAGCCCTGGCCTGTCAAGATTGCAGGAGAAGCTCCCAACGCTCAACCCTTGACCCTAAACCCAAAATCCCAAACTGCTGTGTGAATCCGTAAAATTTGATCCTGAATCCCTGAACGCCATGCTATCCTTAATCCTGAATATTGAATACTGTATTTCTGAATCCCAAGCCGAAATAAAAACGTACCGAAAGGTAAACCCGAAAACACTGGTCTCACAGGGGCCTATGGGGTCTCATACAAGGGCTGTAATACTGTAATCATCATACGGTTTTACCGGGGTTTATTCGGGTTACTTCTTCGGTTACAATAGGCGCCTTCGACATTATCGTGGGTTTCAGTACAAATTATAGTACAGTTCCATGGGGCTACTGAGGCTCCTATGCCGTAACTGCTAAAGCCTGAACCGAAACCAACAAGCCTAATACCTGGGGTCCAGTGGACCCCGTACCGCCAGCCGTAAGGGCACCCTGAGCCGCAACCTTGCGGTGGACCCTAAACGGTGACCTTGAATCCTAAACTTTGGGGTCCGGTGGACGCTAGACCGTGACCTTGAATCCCATACCCAGGGGTCCAAGGAAAACCCGAAATCGTGACCTTGAATCCTAAACCTTGCAGTCCGGATCCCAAACCCAGGGGATCCAGAGGGGACTCTGCACCGTACCCTAAACCCTAAACCCTAAAGTGACCTTGAATCCGAAACCCTGCGGTCCGGTGGAACATCAACCGTAACCTTGGAATTCTAAACCCTGGGTCCGGTCGGCCCTCAACCCGTGACCCTAAACCCTAAACC